AATATCAAAACCCTTGATAATCCTACTGTGTACATTAACAAAAATATGTTTTTTTCACCCTCTGGTATCTGCAATAGTTGAACGCGTTTCCTCAAGAGCTGATTACTGTCCGCCTTCTCTTTTTCTATCTTTGTCAATGATTGAAACAGAGGTTTTGCGCACTTTCCATATTAAGGACAAAGAGTGTCAAATAAACATAGATATAATCTATCATTGTTTGTTTTTCCTAATAGCTTTGTGCGGGCATTTTTTTTTCGATTGACATTTCCAGTATTTCTTATCGATAAGCAATCAGAAACATGGAAATCACGATGACAACGGAAGGCTCAAATCTCGTTGACGAGGCTGGGGATTATTCGCAGGCCCAATAAAATATCTCCCGTTTTATCTGGAAAAAAATCGGAAACAGATTCACTGTCTGGTGTCGAAATTAAAAAAACTTTTGTGTCTACTTATTGTGAGAGTTAAAATGTTTTCACTTTTGGCTTCTGCTTTCGTTTTGGCTTCCATTCTCTTCTGATTATTTGTCACCAATCGCTGTATATTTTGTTACCGTCGGAAAGCAAGAGTTTGATACTTTTATGTGAAAAGAACATTCCCTATATTTCTTCAATATCGTCTTTTTATCTCAGAGAGATCTGTAATAGAAAGCCATGTGTTTTAGCAGAGACAAGTTATTTCGTATGCCGGGACGGCTTTAAACCAAAAATGAGGAGAGTATGTGTGTAAATGTTTACAGAGTTAATGGAAGGAGTAGGTTACTGTGCAATGTGACTGCAAGCTCTTAAAACAAACCACACCTCTGTAGCAGGAGTTGCCTTGAGGGTAAATACTGTTGCTTTCTTTTTTGTGCCACCTTCTCTTTTTTTAGAAGTTAAGAATTGCTTCATGGCCACTGTAATTCGGGGGACTACTAACTTGATCAACATGTACGACTTAGATTTGATTTTGTTCGGAAATTAAATCCCTCTGCCTCTTTCTTCGAGATGCTAATGAGTATCCCCGTTTGGAGTAAATTCCTCCAACTAAAAAATTCATTAAAAGGAACAAAAGCGTCCATCGCTCATGGTGGCACGTCGACCCAAATTACCCCTGAGAGGAGAGACCCAGAATGTGCCTAGTAGGTCAAGCAAGTTCCGAATAGAAAGATGGGGAGGGGGGGGGCGAGGTAGACTTTTACTGTGTTCTTTCGGGACTAGTTATCCATTATAGGAACATCCTATTCTTTGTCTAACATACGCTGTTGACTCAGACAAGATTAGCTGAATAACCTTGCCTTTTCCTATGATCTTTTCTTAAAAACAATGAGTTACGCAACACGCATCTTAGTTAAATTTGAGCTGGTCAAATCTCGTTCTCTCTTTCTTTCTTTCTCACTCGGTGTCTCTGCCTCTCTCCCTATCTCTCTTTGTCTTTATCTCTCTCTCTCTCTCTCT